TATAAATCACCTATATCTCTAGAATATGATAAGATTTGACCCTACTATTGGGTATATTTGTCTACATGTTAACATCTTTTTCTATAATATATATGGGAAAATTAAGCACTGTTGTTGAGCATAGAGTGTCTCTCTATGAACACTTGATCTTTATACTCTAACTCTTCTTTAATAGTGAAGAAATAAAGATTTTTGTATCACTTGCTATATAGTGATTTTATAACTGGGACAATCACGTGATTTTTTCCCTTTATGAGTTTTCAATGTTAAAAATTATCTAGTCATACTATTTTCATTTGTACATGTTAAATTTTTTTACACTACTAAGACGTAAAACACACACTCTAATGACTCAAATTTTCTAACAAGTATGTTGAATCTATGAAGTTGTACATGTATTAGATGGGCCATGCTAGAAGTCATAAGCAACTCCAATTTAGCAAGTAAGTAATATTCTTCATTTAAGTACCTTTGACAAGTTATGTAATTAGTCACCCTTCAACAAATTTATTGTGCAAGAGCATAGCCATGTAAGCAACTAATCTGCCTTTTGGTTCATTCTTAGCTCTTAATGTCAATGATCGAGTTAAAACCAACAAAAAAACTTCATTTGAGATGTGTTTATAGGAGATTTGAGAATACAAATGGCTTCAAAATATACGACTTTCAAATTATATGCATTAATGTCGCTTCTCAATTAGATATTCATTTAACCCAATAAGATTTTCATAATAATTTGATTATGCAAGCAAACATTGATGCACACTTTAATTATTTCACAATATAAGCAGTATTTTTTGAGGGGCATAAATTGGCGGTAAAAATAAATAACCAATAATTTTTTTTAAAAAAAATTTAAAGTTATAAATGTCTAATAAACAACTATTAAAATAGCAAGTAAAAACCTATAGGAGAAAAAAAAAAGAATGCTATGCCTTCATCTTGACATATCCTTCACATTGTACGATTAATTAATTATCTTGGAGTGAAGTAATCATTCGATTGCCCTCACTTTATGGACTTCTTATAGTTATTACGATAATCTTATTCATGTTCCAAGTCTTCATTTGACCCTTTTTACATGGAAAATGATGAGTCAAACTTAGTGACAAAGGAATAATTCGAAAAAGGAAAAAATACGTAAAGAAATTCTTTGAGAATTCATGTTTTCACATGACATCATTGGGCTTCATTTTATATGCAAAGGTCCAGATCGATAGTACTGAATTAACAACATGATATAATTACATTGAAGTGAGTATGTTGAATCTATGAAGTTGAACTTGTAGTAGTCGGGCCATGCTAGAAGGCATAAACAATTCTAATCTAACAAGCAAGTAATATTCCTCATGTAAGTTCCTTTGGTGATTTATGTAGCTAGTCACTCTTAACAAATTCATTGAGCAAGAGCATGGGCATGTAAACAACTAATTTGCCTTTTTGTTCATGTTTAGCACTTAATGCTTGATACGTTACAAAAAATCATGTTGATCAGACAAAAATATGTATGAATATATGAATTGAAAACTTTCAAAATTAAATTTGGGACTATCCAAACTCCAATCTCAGTAACCTTACAATCAAATTGAACATTTCAATAAAACGAACCCAATGACACCAAACCGACCCAATCCGAGTCCAAATGGGATCGAACCAAGGGACTATAAAGAGAAATATCTTACATTTTTCAGCCATCGTCGATGAAGATCATTACCGGTTATCATTACCGACAATCATTATCTCCTCTGACAACTGACATTATAAATCACCTATATCTCCAGAATATGATAAGATTTGACCCTACTATTAGGTATATTTGTCTTCATGTTAACATCTTTTTCTATAATATATATGAGAAAAATTAAGCATTGTTGTTGAGCATAGAGTGTCTCTCTATGAATGCTTGATCTTTATACTCTACCTCTTCTTTAATAGTGAAGAAATAAATATTTTTGTGTTGCGTCCAGGAGTATTCGCGGCGGTAGAGAAATATAAAGTTTATCGCCTTAGCGTTGTACGAAAATCCGGCACGTAATCAGATAAGAGAGAAAGTCTAGCATTTATGAGACACCAATATTTTTACGTGGAAAACCCCTGAAAAGGGGGAAAAACCACGGGGCCTAGCCCAGTTTGAATGAATCCATTAGTATTGCGGTCGATTACAAATGAGACCCTTTCTTGGGAGAAGGCCATAGCTTGATGTACATTTTATAGAGTACATTACATGATATGAATACAAAGAATCACTATTGACATGTTCGTTTGGTCGGGAGGACCGTAGTCGGCGGGCGACGGAGGTCGGAGGGCTTGTAGTCGGTGGGTGACGTAAGTTAGGAGGACTGTAGTTGGCTGGCGACGGAGGTCAGAAATACTGTAGTTGGTGGGCGACGTAAGTCAGAAGGACCGTAGTCGGCTGGCGACGGAGGTCGAAAGGGCTGTAGTCGGCGGGCGACGTAAGTCAGGAGGACCGTAGTCGGCGGGCGACAGAGGTCGGAAATACTGTAGTTGGTGGGCGACATAATTCAGGAGGACCGTAGTCGGCGGGCGACGGAGGTCGAAATAACTGTATTCGGTGGGTGACATAAGTCAGGAAGACCGTAGTCGGTGGGCGATGGAGGTCGGAAAGACTGTAGTCTGACGACGAAGATCAGAAGGACAATGTCAGGTAGAAGTCCAACAATGGAAAGAAATCCATCTTCGAATAGACGTCCAACGAAGTCCGATAATTGGTAGAAGTCCGGCGTTAGGTAGAAACTTGGCGAAGAGTGAAGGTCCGACGTCGGGTAGAAGTCTGACGTCTGTTGGTGGCAAAGGAGAACTCCGGCTTCACATGGACGGAGTTTTGGCGTCAGGAGGGAACTCTGTTGCAAATTGGGAAGAATTTCAGCATCACGTGGAAGTTGGGCAGAAATCCTGCGTTTTCCCGAATATCACGCAGAATCCCGGCGTGTTCGGGCGGCAGGACGAACTCCGGCGGTGGTCGAGGAGGAGAGGATTATCCCTTTCCCCTTTTTCTTCTTCTTTCCTTCTTCTTCTCTCTCTTCACTTCAGACCCTATTGTGAAAAATGAGGGCTCTATTTATAGTTTTCTGGAGTGACATGACTTGTAAATATGTGTGAGATCAGGGGCGAACATGGAGTGGTGAATGGACGGCTGATATTGAATCCTTTGATCATACACCGTTCGTCAGCCATTTGAAGGCCTTAGTGATGTTGGAATCCGGCGATCTTGGGCTCGTTGGATTCGTCTCGTCGAGCCGTTCGATTCGACTATAAGCTCGCCAAAATCGAAGGCCGTTTGGTAACTCAAATTGTGGTTCGAACCTTCCAACAACGCTTTAGGTCCTTGATTTGGACTCATTTTGGGCTCGGATTGAGTCAAATTTGGTGTCGTTGGGTTCGTATTTCCGAGACGCTCAGTTTGACTGTAAGTTTGCTGAAATCGAAGTTCAGGTGCTTCCGAATTTAACTTTTGAAGTTTTCAACTAGATTTTTGCCTCGAGATTCGTGTCCGAGTCCGATCAAAGATGATTTTTGCATGACGTATCATTTTGTATCACTTGATGTATAGTGATTTTATAACTGGGACAATCACGTGATTTTTTCCCTTTATGGGTTTTCAATGTTAAAAATTATCTAGTCATACTATTTTCATTTGTACATGTTAAAATTTTTTACACTGCTAAGACATAAAACACACACTCTAATGACTCAAATTTTCTAACAAGTATGTTGAATCTATGAAGTTGTACATGTATTAGATGGGCCATGCTAGAAGTCATAAGCAACTCCAATTTAGCAAGCAAGTAATATTCTTCATTTAAGTACCTTTGACAAGTTATGTAATTAGTCACCCTTCAACAAATTTATTGTGCAAGAGCATAGCCATGTAAGCAACTAATCTGCCTTTTGGTTCATTCTTAGCTCTTAATGTCAATGATCGAGTTAAAACCAACAAAAAAACTTCATTTGAGATGTGTTTATAGGAGATTTGAGAATACAAATGGCTTCAAAATATATGACTTTCAAATTATAGGCATTAATGTCGCTTCTCAATTAGATATTCATTTAACCCAATAAGATTTTCATAATAATTTGATTATGCAAGCAAACATTGATGCACACTTTAATTATTTCCCAATATAAGCAGTATTTTTTGAGGGGCATAAATTGGCGGTAAAAATAAATAACCAATAAATTTTTTTTAAAAAAATTTAAAGTTATAAATGTCTAATAAACAACTATTAAAATAGCAAGTAAAAACCTATAGGAGAAAAAAAAAAAAAAAGAATGCTATGCCTTCATCTTGACATATAATTTTATAAATATCATTAATTGAAAATTGAAATGTCACATAATGTTAATAATTTGCAGAGTGCTATAAAAATTTGTATTAAAATTTATAATTAGAATAAATAATATATAAGCTAACATTTTTGGTAATTATTTATAGCCAAAAAAGCTTTTTTTGGGGAAACTAAAAAGTTATGCTAATTAATATTTAAAGAAAACTATTATTATAGATAAGATTTATAAAAATAAAGTAGAACTAATTATCAAATTTCAAAAAATTAAAATTATAACTAATAATTAAATAAAATTGATATGGTTTAATTTTTTTAATTCTGTCCATGTAATACAAGGACCATTAGGTAATGAACAATTCATATAAGTTAATCGATTAGCATGGGAGATATTATTGGGCGGTATTAAAAAATTCCCTAATAATTTTTATAAATAATTCTGTAATTTAAGTATATTATCTTTTATCCGGCATTTTCGCAAACATATAATGCGTTTTTCTACGAGTTATCTTCGTCCGTGAAGTTGCAGCGGTCATCATTTTGTGAACATGGCAAACCTATATCGCAAGTTTTTGATGTTTGCTGTTCATAATGAACAGCGATCTTTTTCCTGGATATTACTGATTTGCTAGCGTCCAATGAGGTCTCCGATATCGCCGATTTTCCTCTCATTTCATTTTCGTTTCTTAATATTTCTTTCATTTTCACTTCTTAATATTTCTCCTTCCGCCTTCTTCCCCGCCCTCGGGCTTCTTGTTCTCTTCTCTGAATTCCGAGAGCTCGAGCGGAGCGAACGAGGGAGAGGAGAGAAAGAGAGAGAGGGAGGGAGTTGGAGGGATAGGGCTACTCAACTGGTTCGATTTTGAGGTATTGCTTTGCGGCCGCTGGAGAAGAAGATGAGCGCGAATCCGGTGCAGGCGAGTTCTCATGGTAACCTCGATGAGCAAATTACGCAGCTTATGCAGTGCAAGCCGCTTTCCGAACAAGAGGTTCTTCCAGACTTGATTTTCTTAGATTTGTAATAGATTTCGGCTTGCTTGCTCTAGTTTCATCGGTTCTGTTTTTTGATCTTGGGTGTGATATTAAATTGCTGCGTGGTTGACGGATCGGGTGATGCGTAAGCCTTTTTAGGGGGATGGAGTTTTCTTATGTTGATCCATGGTATTTCTGGGTTTCGTGGAGTTAGGGTTTTGTATTTGGGTGTTCGGTCATATTCTTTTGCCGCTTGAATTGTTTTTACCTGAAGTTTCCAGATCTGCGAGAAAATATTGATTTGTTTTCGGTGCGCTGGAATTTATAAGTGTAATTTCAGATCTGAAGGCGTAGTGATGGGTCATCGGGCGAAGTTCGTTAGACAGGCTATGCAACATTTATATTCCGATGCGACTGTGGGCGCACGCGTTAGATGGACAAGGACTCCTTCGCAATATTTTTAGACCCAGTTGAAGTTCTTTTGGTATGGGAAAAAAGAATGACTACGTTTGTAATGATATTTTTGGCATTTAAAATAAAACATAAGTTGCCCAAGGAAGTAAATTAGGGCTGAGGATTCAGAATATTGGGTTTTTCTTGATAAAATTTGTTGAGTTGCGATTTACAATGCTAGTTGTTCTCTTTGAAGTCCTTGATCATATAAATCAGCTCCAAACTGAATTTATTTTGGGCACTAGTCCGTGTTTTTTTCCTCTTCTATTCTATTTAATCTAGCAGTCGTTCTGATATGATTATCTCCCTTATAATTATTGTGTCCTTAACATGATGTTCAGGTAAATCAATTCAAATTCGACATGAGCTTGTAGTATTATGAGTGGATATACTGTAATCTGTATATTTCAATATGGATTTTGATTTAACTCTAAAGGAGGTGCATTATGGTAAAGTTTAGATGTGGACAAGTCACCTAATGAGATTAAGAAAGTTATGGGAGATGATAGAGTTGTTTGATTAACAATTTTTTTTTTTTTTAATGACATCTTGAAGGCCATGAAGGTGTCAAATGATTGAGAAAGAAGTAACTTGGTATGGTGTTTAAAAATTAAAACAAATGAGATATGTTTAATTATGATAATAGTTAGAGGGAATCAAGTTTATGAGCCATCTAATGTATATATTAGAGAGGGGCATGATGAAAAACTATTAATATTTAATTTGTAATGAAGCATCAGTTTGGCTATATGTCTTGAGGATTCACTATGGAGACACATTTTGTTTTTAGGCAATTATTAAAAAGCATAGAGAGCATTCCAAATGTGTTTTTATTTATCTAGGAAGGCTTATGAGTAGGTGACACGAGAATTGATTTAATATGCATTAAGAAAAAAATATATTTGAAGTTATGCATGTATACCCAATCAAATTAGGATTACTTCAATGATCATCATTAAGTATGTTTTTTTTTTTAAAAATTGTTTATTAAGATGCGTACAAATGATATTCAAAATGAGGCACCTTGCTTATGTTATTTTTAGATGATTTGGTTTTAATGGGTGTCATCTATAGGAATAAGGTTAATGCTTTAACAATTGAGAGCATTTTTTGAAAATAGGTGGCTTAGGATTGATGGAACAAAGATTGAGTTTCTGATATGTAGTTTTAGTGGGTTTGCAATTGATAATTATGTGAATGTTATTGGAAGATAAAGTAATACATAGATGTGGTAAGTTAATTATTTTCATAATACAAAACAAAGAATATATTTACGAGGATATAACTTAGAGAATGCAAAATTGTGGTTACAATCAAGAAGTATTTTAGGAGTATTATGTTATGAGGAATATTGGGTAAATTTATTAATTGCAGCTAGGCTGCTAGTTATATGAATTTGAATGTTGAACAATATATATGAGTAACTAATGTGATTGGAATGAAAATGTTAAGATGTATGAATGAGAATTCATTTTTGAGAATTAGGATTCTTAAAGGTGATCATAGATTGTTAGGATATAATTAATGATTATTATTATTTTCTCTTAGGTTCCAACTAGGTTTGTCAAATGCTTTGCTTAAGCCCATCTAGGTCTATTTAATTAGGCCCTCCAAGGCCTATCATGAACTTAAACTAGCCTAGATTTATGATGTGCTTTTGTGAGCTTCCCATTAAGGTTCTTTTAGGACTATTTAAAATATAAAGTATTTCTCCAATAAAATTTATGTCAGTCAGTCTATTTTAAATTGTGTTAAAATCAACTTGAATTTATTTGAGTTGAAATTAGTGTGGACTCGATTTTGTATTGCTTTCAATTTTATGATGGCTTAACCAAAAATTGATTAAGACCACTTGAAAACTAATAGTATTTATATATTTTATAAAAAAATAATATATGCAAGTGTTCAGGCTTTCTATCTGTAAAAGATTAGTTATCGTAATAAGAGGTTGGATGCTCAAATCAAACAACAACAACAACAAGCCTTTGCTCAAATAATACCTCCAATTTAATTTTTATCTTTATTTACAAGATGATGTCATTGCAATGAGGCTTTTATGATAAATAAATGTTCTAATGGGATGGCCTTGAAATTGTTAGGGTTGGGCCCATTTAAATTCATACAATTTAGTGCCAACACATTAGGGCTATTGGATGTTTGGTCTCATGGGTAGGCCTGATCCTATATTTGAATATGAACATGATCAATTTCTTTTACACATGTACATGTTGGAGTTATTGTAGTGTTAGATGGTATATGCGTTTTAGAAAAAAAATGCTGAAATGCGATTCTGTAGTAAAACTTTTGAATTGGAAGATAGTTTAGATATTAACTTTGCTCAGTAGTCTTGTTTTTAGGTGCTCAATTGCTAATCATTTGTAATTAACTTTAAATGCTTGGATTTAAATATATAGAATAGTAGTAAAATGTTTTTCAGTTTCATCTGTTATTTTCAGCTATTAGAGTTTTGGGCAAAATGTTATAAAAAAATCAAATTCATGAGGTCATTTGAATGCCACACAATTAAGCCAAAAATTTTTATGGTAGCAAACAATCAGTAAAAAAAAGGTAAGGAAAACTGATATATTTAAGAAGCTTGTAAAAAGATTTAATTTGATTTTATTTTAAAATAGAAAATGGATTTGATTTGGGTGTAGAAGGTTCATATTTAGATATACTGCTAATTATGTCCTTGCAGAGATTTGATTGCTTCATAGGGAAAGTTAAAGGCTTGGGGAAAAATGATGATGGAGGATACTTTGGAAAAATAGTAATGGATTTAAAATGTATGCATCATTGCATTTATTAATTTACTTTTTTGAGAAACTTTAGAATGCTTTTTAGAATAGATGTCCCAGGTGAGGTTATGGACAATTTTTGGAGAACACTTCATAATATAATATCGTTTTGGAGTGAATTTACTTGCCAAAATTGTTCTATGATCACACCTAAAGTTCAATGTGAGCATTTTGTTAAGAGAGTAAAGAATGGGAGAGAGAAAATTCCAGTGATCAGAACTTTAGTTTACCTTAAATGGGCTTGAATTCTAGAGATTACGTAGCTTGAGCTCGATCTCATGCCCTCTATTTATAGGTTAAGACTAGTGCTTGAGATGCCATATATATATGTGGTTGTAAAATAATGATAATGCTCATGAACTGTGTAACCTATCTATGCTGTGTATTAGCTTGTAATCTTATGATATCATAAAGCCCAACCAACCTGAGGAAGTCACTGGCTTGCCTTGAGAGAGTTTCCAAGCCGACTTAAGGGAATTGCCTTCTTGGGTGAGTTCTTGAGAAGCCTTGGTGAGCTTGTCTTGAGTTGTATCAACCTCATGTTAACCATGTCGAATTCGGCTTTGACAAGTCTGTGTATGTTCGATTGCACATATTCAATAAATAGTTCATTAGTTGGAGATTCACTAATTATAAGAGTTATGCATAAACATGGGTCTTTTTTGTGTACCATTTTTGCTGTTTATGTTAGAGTTATTACATAGATTTATGTTTATGTTAATTTTTATTAGAAATTATGATTCTTAATGAATTAAAATTTACGATTATTTTATATTTGTATTTTATATTTCTTTGCAGGTGAGAGTCTTATGTGACAAAGCAAAGGAGATTTTGATGGAAGAAAGCAATGTTCAGGTAAGGTTATAGAACCAAATTACTGGCTGTTTCTTGATCTTATTTTGTGGAAAACAAATATTATTTTTTCTTTTCATGTGAGTTTGCTATAGTAGTTTTCATGTTTTATGACCGCAGTTTCATTCTCTGATTTTCTTGTACCATGGGGTTCTTTTTGGTATAACACTTATAATATTAAGGAAGAGGCATGCTCGTGCAATGGAAGTTGAAGTTTGTGTAATAGTTGCATATGCAGAAATCAGAATTATCTCCTTAATTCCTTCTGTTGCTGTTCTTTGAACTGTATAAAATCTAAAGGTCATATATCCGTTTTGTAATTTTTTCCTTTGATTCTGCAGAAGTATAATGATACAGCAATGATTATACTTTGAATCAGCTGCTACTTGTTGAATAAAAAGGGGTTGTTCATATGTTTGAAAATTGACGTATAAATTCATTGTATGATATTAAAGCTTTGCCATTTTAAATTTAGATATTTGTCATGTTTATTCACATTTCTTCATGCAACGTTATGGTCAATTTGCATTCAAATCAATTATGTCATGAATTGACCAGCGGTACCTTTCCTTGACAGACTAATAATGTGGCACCATTCATTCATCATCATACGTTCATTCCTTAAACGCATGTAGTGGTTAATAACGGTGATGGAAAACTTGGAATCTAATAATTTGAATGCACTGTTTGAAATTTGTGAAACATGTGTGGAATTTGTAGTATCTTAAGCAGACAAGAATCTCGAGAATCACTGTTGTAACGTAATACTTGGTAACTATTTGTTTATTTGTCCAACTTTAACAACAATGAAAAATTAAGCTGATTATGAATATTCTATGATTATATATAATGGGTAAAAAATTTATGTACTTTTCATAAGTATAGAAAGTGAACATTAAGATTAGCTTTAAGAGTTTGCATTTTATGTTTCTTTTTCCAGTTTATATTAAAAACATGCCTAGGATGATGATTCTATTGAAAACAGGTTGCCCTCCAGTGTTTTGAATACCACTTTTGGTTTGATTTACAGATACAAGTAGCTCAATTCAACTTTTGAATTTCTACAATTAGTTTTTTCAATTCTTTATGTAGTACATCAGGTTTTTTTTTTACTTCATTCAAGGTTAGTTGTAAAATATGAAATACACCGGTCTCTTTCCTTTTGTGGAATTGCCTTTGAATTCCTCCTTTGGAATTGTTGCTGAAGTGCTTATGCGATTTCCTCGGTTTCCTTACAGTTTTTCGTAGCTGGCAATTTTCATGCGACATTTCATGGATCAATGCTCAAATGACAGTTTCTTCATGTTGCATTTTTTTTTCCACTGTAGCAATATTGTATCTGTGGATTCGTTTGAATCCCGATTTTGGCACTATAACAGACATTGAAATTGGGAAACTTAGAATTGCTTAAATTTTTAAAAATGGGATTTTGTTGAACTGAGGTTGAAAACTTGTGCTAAATTTGAAATTGCAAGTTTTAGCCAGAACTTGGAGGAATTACTTATTTTGAGTTTTGTTGGGATGTAGGTCATGAATCATTCATTATTAGTTTTATTTGTTTTTCTTTATTTATGTGATACGTTAGCGATGCCAATTAATAAGAAATGTTATATAGTCGGGCATATTGCTTGTTGTAGGTCATCCGGATTAACTGCCCATTTCAAGACATCATGCTTGTTGTAGGTCATCTGGATTAACTGAAAATCAAAATATGAAATGCCATTATTTTTATTTCAATAGCAGTTCTGCTTTCTTTCTTTGATTGTAACTTTGTTTATGGAGTTTTAGGGAATTGAGCAATTAACTGTCTTGTTTCTTGGATCCATATTTGTGCTGGATCATCATTCCTCGATCTATTTTTGTTTGGCAATGTACCGAGTAGTTTGGGATGGGGTGCAATGTAGAAACTGACCCTTGCAAACTTTATTTTTGTTTGAAAGAGAAGGCTTTACTTTGCATGATATATTTCCGATTTTGGACTTAAACATTATAGGTTGTAGCATGTGGAATTTGTTGTGGAATAATGATTCACTCCACAAAGATGCCCTCTCTTAACAGTGGAGTATTTTTTATTTCCATGTTTGCAGTTAATGTTAATGAATGCACACTCTTTTAGGTTTTTTCTGCTGCAGATATGAGAATGAAGAAATCTTGATTTCTTTTTATTTTAAAACCTTTTATTCTTTTACATTCAAAGTTGTTTTATGTTCTCTTGTTGCATTCTGAATATAATTGTATCAATTTTCAGATTTTATCTGAATTTGAGAAGTTATCATAATCTTAATATCTTTTCATTGTCTAATAGTATTTGGATTCAGCAAAGTCTTCTCAATGGAAAGTTTGCTTGACATTTTAAAGTTGTTTTAAACTATATCTGGTTGAATGCAAAATTTGAAATTTTTCATATTTTTTCATACTCTCATTGTGAAGTTGGCAATGATTACTGTAAATTTTTTTTGTGTCTAATTATTAGTTTGGTTCTGCAAGCTCTTCCTCTTTTGATAAATTGTATGATATTTTTGTGTTAAGATGGTTGGAGTGGCATATTAATTGGTATAAAATTGATTTTGTTGCTTTGTGTATGTACAATGAAGAGGATAAGCTGCACCAGTAAGATGAGTAGATAAAATCAATGAGGAAAGTTTAGTGAAAAAAATAGGTAAATGTTAGCATGGTTGAAATTATGAAACAAGAGCAAAATTAACTTTAATGCCTCATGCATCAATAAGCCGGAACAAATGGAGAATTAGGCTTCGTTTGATTCGGTTTGTGCTTACATAAAAAGGAGTTTTAGAAAAGGAGGTTGAGAAAAAGCCGTTCAATAAAATGGAGTTTCAATAATGAGATATGTTTGACTAATATTTTTAAAAGTGTTTATTAATACTTGAAAGTAATTTTAAATTGTTTGTTTAGGAGTTCTGCTTTTGAGATTTTATTATAAAAGACATATTCGCTTCCGAAATTCCGTTTTGTGACTGAAGAAGCAGATACGAAAAGAATTTTGTAACCACCGAAAAAACGATGTTTATTAAAAAGGAATTATTGTTAAGCTTTGATTCCAAATAGTAAATACTAATTGATTTCGGCGTATTCAAACGGAAACGGAGAAAAAAAGCCTAATCAAACGAGGCCTTAAACTTCATAAAAACTGATCCCGGATAGTTGGGATACGACAACTAATGATAGTGATGTGAATTGGGCTAGTTCTATGCATGGTTGTTTTTTGAAGTAGTTGTATTTTGAAGTACTAATATTCTATTTCAAATTGCAGCCTGTGAAAAGCCCTGTAACCATTTGTGGTGACATTCATGGACAATTTCATGATCTAGCTGAATTGTTTCGTATTGGTGGAAAGGTATCTCTTTTTTCCAATGACTCTATGATACTATTGTAGTTATGCTGTCAATTTGAACTTGATTTTGTTTCAGAGCTTGTATTCTTTTAAAAGTTTCAATTCAGAATATAGAGCTAGGCGTCTCTGGGATTTTTTTTGATGAGAATCCTTTCTTTATTTTAGTGCCCAGATACCAATTACTTGTTCATGGGAGATTATGTTGATCGTGGGTATTATTCTGTTGAAACTGTCACGGTAAGCAAACTTTACACGTGCTACACTTTACTTGAAGTAAAATGCTCTTATTATGATTTATATTACATAGGGTTGAATAACAACCATAATCTCACCTAAAAAACTACCTAATGGGTAAAAGAAAGATCTCCTTTTTTTGGTCTTCCAACTAGTTCTTCATGGCTGCCTAATGCATGTACTACTGTTGTTGAAGCTGTGGTGGTAGATTATGGACATTTACCATTTCATAACATCAAATATTCTCTATTGTACAGCTTCTAGTGGCTCTCAAGGTGCGTTACTCTCAGAGAATCACAATCCTTAGGGGTAACCATGAAAGTCGGCAGGTACGCTGATCTAGACCTTCTGCACCCAATTTTTGTTGCAACTATGGAAGGATTTGTTCTGAATATCGCTATTTCCCCGTACAAATTATAGGTCCATTCCATGAAAATTTCCCTTTTTTTATTGATTGCTAAATATCCCTCTTTTGAAATGAAGAATACTTACAAAATTGCAGATCACACAAGTTTATGGATTCTATGATGAATGCTTAAGAAAGTGAGTTTCTATTCTATATCTCGAGCTTTCTGATTTATTTTGTTCTACTTCCATTTGTTAGAGGGTATGCTTAAATTGACGTCTTCTTTATGTGAATCCTTGATTCGGTTTTCTTTTCTTAGGCGACATGCACGCTGTGGTGTTAAATTTTCCTTTATTAATGAGGGGCCTACTTGCTGTCCAGCTTCGAAGTAGCTATGATAGTTATTCTATTTGCTAGTTTTATTTATTTTTCTATTTTGTTTTTAAATTTCGTATAATTTTGCACATTGTTTAAAATATTTGGTGTCTTCTTGCCATAAGTACCTCTTTTTTTAAACTTCAAATATATATATGATTTGTGGATTTTAGTGTCACCAACAGCATATTTTGGTTTACTTGCCTGCATAACCTATCAATGTTTTATTTGAACTGTCATGTTATTGGGTGCAGAATGGTTTTCTTGTCTGCATAACCAATCAATGTTTTATTTGAACTATTTCATGTTATTGTTTGCAGTATCTTATTTATGTGAACAATGATTATACGAGATTTGGCTTTTGTTTGTTATTTTCTCAACATGCACCTTTTTAGTTTTGTCTCAGACTCTCGGTTGAGTTTAGTATTTTGTTAATCCTAATTATTTCTGTTTCCTTTATTTATTGAATGTTTCAAAAGACCAGAGAATCCATTTTGGTAAAGTTGCAAGAAAATGAGTTTTTTTCTTTGTTCGAGTAATTCCAACACCTATAGCCATGTAAATGGTTATTTAAACACTAATTTTTTTCATGCAATCTAACCTTCTTCCAAATTATAGTTTCGTTAGTTGTCCTACAGGAATGAAACCATCTTTGTATCTTTTGTTTATTAAGTGTTTAGGAAACATTGGAGTTACAGTTATGAGAGTTGTTCTAAAATCTACTGGTACATAACAATTAGATTTTGGAGGATATTATATCGGCTGCATTAAAATTTCTATTGCTTAGTTGCATTCATCTAGCCTGAATAATGGAGGGCAAACACATTAATAAAGGCCGTTGTGATGTTTGGAATGAATTTTCTTTAGCAAATATTTGGATCATTTGGAATGAATATAGTTTTAGATTCTTTAGCTAGAAAAAGAAGTGACTAAGCTCTTTGGTTTGGCATCCTTTCCTTCGTCAACTTCTGGATTGATTTTGGTTGAGGTGTAACTATTTGAAATCTACTATGGATTTACCTAAGTGATCGAAAACTGATAATTATTTTTTTTGAGATTTCTTGCTGATTCTTTCCTTGCATCTTTGTTTTTTCTTCTTCTAATGTTTTCTGTCTTTTTTTTCTACTTTTTGCATTGTAACTTGGATTTATTGGTTTTAATGAGAATGGTCAGTTTAAGGTTTTTTTATCTGAAGGAAAAAAAAAGAAGCTAATCTATCTCATGCAACCCTTCATTTCTATTGGTTAATAATTGGTAATTTTGCTTTCACAATTATTGCAAATTATTTTCTACCTATTGCAATCGTCATATCTTTTAATATTTTCCTTCATTGTTTTTCCTGTCAATTATTTACTTGATTGCTCCAAGTTTTGTCATATTTATTATGCACTCTGAACACATCCATCACTATCATAAATGGTGCTGATTGATGCAATTTTATTGTAATAAAGAACTTCTTATACTCCGCAAATACCTATAATTGTATTTGACACATACCCTTTTCCCTCAATTCCCCTGGATCACATATTGCGGCTCTCTATTATATGAATTTTAAAGATAAAAATTATCATTATTTAGAAATTATGTTATTTATATTGTATTTTTTCATTTGTTGCCTTAACATGAAAGTATCATTATTTCTACAATTGATTTTCATTAGCACATAGCCCCAATCAATTCTACAATATCAATGCGTTTTTTTTTTTAACATGAGTTCCATCACCTCACTTGTAGTTTCCTTGGATGATTTGTAGGCTTCACTACTTCTAGTTAGAACAGTGATGAACTCCCTTTTATTCATAAATACTACAACAACAATAACATCTCGACTTTGTCCCACTATGTGGTGCCCTTTTATTCATAAATGTTGATACTAATTTTTTTCCGGTTCTTTTGATATCATCTTAGGTTTTGGCTTTTTGAAAAGATTTTGTAACCAAACATTGTTTCTTCTGTCACTTTTTTAATATCTATGGTTATGGTGTCAGATGCTAAAGTTTTACCATTTTTCTTTTCTTCTAAAGTTAACTGAACTTCTCTTTGTTGAATTAATGTATTATAAAAAAGTATAAGAAACTATATTGTTTTACTGTATAAGGGCTAACGGCTAACATAGGAAAATAAGGCATACAAATTGCAATCTAAGGGCCATAAGAAGATCGATCCAAAATTGGTTGATTTGTGTATTGTGATCCTTCGATATATAATATACTAGATTAATTATTTTTTCCCTTGGAGATTAGAGTAAAAGTGGAAAAAAGAGTATTTTCTAACTTGAGAAATGTGTATTATTAATCTGGAGCGTTTCCTAGCAAGCCAAGAAACCTGAATGTTTCCTTCTTTTCTTTGTGTGGTGAAGTGGATGGTCTCGAAAAGCTGTTAAGCTGTTTTAGAGGAGATTTTAGTTGGAGGAAAGGAGATATAAAAGAAAGATAACGGGGACGGTTTGTATGAATGTGTTAGACCAGACCAGTCGGTCCATAAAGGACCGGCCCACAGGAACAGAGGTGGAGAATGTCCACCTCTCGTTTGTGCCGTTCAAGCCGCAGGATCCAAAAGAGATGTTTAGGAAGGATTTTTGAGGGAGTTGGGAGGAAAATTTGAATGTAGGGATTGTTTAGAGATTTCCATTTGGATTGTATGCATTTTTTTAAAAAATTTGGATAAGATCCGCCTAAGCGGGTAGGCTTAACCACATGCGTTAGGCAACAAGAAGCCCGAAGGCCGTTCCCACCCCTATTTGGGGAGATGCCAACCGTCTCTCCATTGGATTGTATGCATTAAATAGTTTGTTTTCCTAGGGTTAGGGCATCTTGAATTTGGCTGAAATTTTGAGATCTCTTAGTTTCTTTGGGTTCTAGCGGCGTCTAGAGATTTGGGAGAGATAGATCCTTCTCTCAAATAGAGGATCAATTGTATCTTGCTATTTTTCTTCCGTTAGTTGGATTATTTCAATAAAATCTATTATTTTTCCATTGGTTTTGTGAATCATTTTGTCTCTATTGTTAGGGTTTACTTGAGATATACAAGTATTTCTTAACAAATTGGTATCAAAGCGGTGTCCGGCTGATTCCTGTAGCAGTTTTTCTCCTTCGAACCACTGTTTTTGCTGTTTTTGTGGTGGAAATCTGAATTTTCGAGCCTAAGCAGTGTCCGGGGCTTTTTGGGCTGATTTCCGCATCAGTTTGTCTCCTTCGAACCGCCGTTTTTGCTGTTTTTGTGGTGGAAATCTGAATTTTCGAGCCTAACATAGATCCGGAGACTTACGGCGTGAAGAAAAGTAGAACTATTGGAAAGGGAGATCGGACAAATTAAATTTGAAAATTCAGATCTCCAAACTCGAGTTTCAGATTTAAAAAAAAAAATATTTCAGCCATCCATGATAAGTTTGATTCGAAATTTTCCATCATGGAGAAGATGTTGAAAAAAGGGCTTGAGGGCCAAATCAAAATATCGCTGTCGGAGGTGAGGGAAGGCGCCGACAACCAAGGAAGTGGGGAAAACCCTAAGCCGATCAGACGAATGGAAGATTAAGTGGTGGAGATTTTGGAGCGAACATAAAAAAATGCCTCCCCTGGGCCTATTTTTAGGGAGGAGTCAGGTAGAGGGTATGTGGGGGAGGCGTGAGGGGGCTGGACATGAGTGGAAGAGTGCTAAATTTAAAAAAGGAAATGGGTAATTATGACCAAAGGAGGGCTGAATTTGAAAGGGGAGGACTTGATTTTGACCGAAGAGGTGTCGAATTTGAAAGTAGAGGGGTTGAATATGATCAAATGGTGCTAAATTTGAAGGGAGAATGTGGGTTTGTGATGAAAGGTTTGGGTGCGAGCGAAGGAGGGATGATTAATACAATTTGGGGGAACCACCACCCCCTTGGGGAATGGGAAGTTTTGGAGGAAGCAGGGTTGACGGAGGATATCTGAGAGTGAGGAATCCGAAGATGGCTATTTTTGAGGGAGAGGATGCACATGGGTGGATCTATACGGTGGAATGGTACTTTACTGTCAATAGGTTGACAGATAAGGAGAGACTGACGGCAGTGTACCTATGTTTAGAAGGGAGGGCTTTGTCTTGATATCAGTGGAGTGACATGTGTCAACCCATACAGAGTTGGAGGGAGTTCAAGGATTGCATGTTAGAACGATTTCGAACCGGCAGGAGAGGAGACTTCTACGAGCAGTTCTTCGCCTTGACACAAGCTGATTTAGCGATAGAGTCCTGAGAGAGGTTCGAGTACCTCGCTAGCCGATTGGACTGCCTTTTTGAGACCCGTGCTAGAGGGGAAATTCATGAAGGGGCTAAAACCAGAGATCCGAGCGACAGTTAGAGTGATGAGGTCTCGTGACTTAGGAGAGACTATGGAGCTAGCTCAATTGGTGGAGGATCAGAGGCACCTGGAGAAAGGGTCGAAAGGTAGAAGATTAGGAGGCATGTACAGGATGACCACCACCGTTTTGGCATTCAAGGAGCCGACATCGGGTACCCTTCAAGAGACTCCGAAGAAGTAGACTGTCGGTGGAAGACCCGGGGACAACTTCAAGAAGCTCACATAAATTGAGTTACAAGAGAAGATAACAAAGGGGCTTTGTTTTAGATGTGATGAGAGGTATACACCGGGGCATAGATGTAAGGACCAAACTCTCAGGTTCTCATTGTTTATGATGATGAGGGAATGGAGGAGGGTGTCTTCTTCCCACCTTGTGACAATGTGGGTCTTTGAGAGGGGAGTATTGTTAGACTGGTCCATACGGGACCAGCTCACAAAGATAAGAGGCGGAACTCTTCCGCCTCCGGTACGCGGGATCCGACCTCCCGCTTTCTACAGAGCCATTTAGGAAGGATTTAGAAGGAAGTTTAGTAGGGAAATTGAATGTAGGGACTGTTTAGATATTTTCTTTTGAACTATATGCATTAAAAAATTTGTTTAATTAGGGTTAGAGCATCTTGAATTTGGCTGAAATTTGATATCTCTTAGGTTTAAGTTTCCTTTGGGCTCTGGCGGCGTCTAGAGAATTTGGGAGAGATCGATCCTCCTCTTGAATTGAGGATCAACTGTATCTTGCTATTTTTCATTTATATTTCATCAAATAATACAAAATATCTACTGTTTTCCTATTTTTGTGGAAGATTTTCGCTATTTTCTAAAAATTGATAGGAATTACTTGAGATCTTCAAGTGTTTCCTATCAACTTATCAATCATGTCTGTAAGCTACATAAAGCCATGTACAGTCTCAAACAAGCTCCAAGACAACGGTTTACCAAATTCACCTCATTTCTTCTCAACTTTGGCTTCAATTTCAGCAAATCTGATCCCTCTTTACTTAACGTTTCAAATACAAACATTCAAATGTACCTAATAATGTATGTGGGTGACCTTCTAATCACTAGAAATCATCAAACAACAATCCAACAGCTCATCTTCAAGCTCCAAACAATCTTCTCGCTCAAAGACCTCGGTCCAGTTTTTTCTATTTCTCGGAATTCAGGTTTGTCACACTCCACAAGGCTATTTCTTAAATCAAACGCAGTATTCCCATGACCTGCTCAACTCATCCAGCTTCGCAACATGCAAACCATCTCTCACACCAATGTCCCTCAAGCCATCTCAATGCTAGCAAGCTGATCATCCATTCAGCGATCCAACTCTATACCATCATCTAGCAGGCTCCTTACAGTACTCACCATTACAAGACCAGACATTGCGTTTGCCACAAATCAGATATGCCAACATATGCACAATCCAACAAATCAACACTATGAATCTCTCAAGAGGCTTACTCTGGTACATTCAAGGCACAATTAAATATGATCTTTCCATTTTCTCTAGTGATCTTCAACTCCACACGTATTCTGATGTGGACTAGGCGGCTGATACATCCGATAGAATATCTACTGCTGGATTCTGCACCTTTCTAGGTAACAACCTAATCTCTTGGAGCGTCAAAAAGCAGGTCACCATAGCAAAATCATACTCTGAAGCAGAATACCTAGCTCTAGTTGGAAAAGGAATATTCTTTTGCATTTTTCATATCATGTTTTTATCCTTTATTCTTGCATTAATAAGGTTCAGTTATCCCGTTTCAAAGATATTCTTATTTAGTTTACCTATATTTAAGTTCTTTATGAATTGGGATGTAACTTTAAGTATCTCTTGGATTGGAATCGAATTATTCTTGTCATGATATCTATTCATTCTTGGGTGGTTTATATGAGAAAAATACGCAGTGGACCTACCTAACAATGTAATCTTGATAAATTGGGCATTATCAACGGTTACGATCATAGTTTGTAACGTTGCTTTTGAAGATAACTTTCTTTTACTCTATAATTGTTGAATCATTAGTAATATTTGGAGGATATTATATCGGCTGCATTAAAATTTCTATTGCTAAGTTGCATTCATTTGCCTGAATAATGGAGGGCAAACACATTAATAAAGGCCGCGTTGATGTTTGGAATTAATTTTCTTTAGCAAATATTTGGATCATTTGGAATGAATATAGTTTTAGATTCTTTATCCAGAAAAAGAAGGTGACTAAGCTCTTTGGTTTGGCATCCTTTCCTTCGTCAACTTCTAGATTGATTTTGGTTGAGGTGTAACTATTTGAAATCTACTATGGATTTACCTAAGTGATCGAAAACTGATAAATATATTTTTTGAGATTTCTTGCTGATTCTTTCCTTGCATCTTTGTTTTTTCTTCTTCTAATGTTTTGTCTTTTTTTTTTTCTACTTTTTGCATTGTAACTTGGATTTATTGATTTTAATGAGAATGGTCAGTTCAAAATTTTTTATCTGAAGGAAAAAAAAAGAAGCTAATCTCTCTCATGCGACCCTTCATTTCTATTGGTTAATCATTGGTAATTTTGCTTTCACAATTATTGCAAATTATTTTCTACCTAATGCAATCGTCATATCTTTTAATATTTTCTTTCATTGTTTTTCCTGTCAATTATTTACTAGATTGCTCCAAGTTTTGTCATATTTATTATGTACTCTGAACACATCCATCACTATCATAAATGATGCGGATTGATGCAATTTTATTGTAATAAAGAACTTCTTATACTCCGCAAATCCCTATAATTGCATTTGACACATACCCTTTTCCCTCAATTCCCCGGGATCACATATTGCGGCTCTCTATTATATGAATTTTAAAGATAAAAGTATCATTATTTAGAAATTATGTTATTTATATTGTATTTTTTCATTTGTTGCCTTAACATGAAAGTATCATTATTTCCACAATTGATTTTGATTAGCACATAGCTCAATCAATTCTACAATATCAATGCGTTTTTTTTTAACATGAGTTCCATCACCTCACTTGTAGTTTCCTTGGATGATTTGTAGGCTTCACTACTTCTAGTTAGAACAGTGATGAACTCCCTTTTATTCATAAATACAACAACAACAACATCATCTCGCCCTTGTCCCACTATGTGGTGCCCTTTTATTCATAAATTTTGATACTAATTTTTTTCCGGTTCTTTTGATATCATCTTAGGTTTTTGGCTTTTTGAAAGATTTTGTAACCAAACATTGTTTCTTCTGTTACTTTTTTAATATCTGTGGTTATGGTGTCAGATACTAAAGTTTTACTAATTTTCTTTTCTTTTAAAGTTAACTGAACTTCTCTTTGTTGAATTAATGTATTATAAAAAAGTAGAAGAAACTATATTGTTTTACTGTATAAGGGCTAACGGCTAACATAGGAAAATAAGGCATACAGATTGCAATCTAAGGGCCATAAGAAGATCGATCCAAAATTGGTTGAGTTGCGTCTTGTGATCCTTCGATATATAATATACTAGATTAATTATTTTGTCCCTTGGAAATTAGAGTAAAGTGGAAAAAAGAGTATTTTCTAACTTGAGAAATGTGTATTATTAATCTGGAGTGTTTCCTTGGGTTCTAGCGGCGTCTAGAGATTTGTGAGAGATAGATCATTCTCTTAAATAGAGGATCAATTGTATCTTGCTATTTTTTCTTCCGTTAGTTGGATTATTGCAATAAAATCTACTTTTTTCTTATTTTTCCATTGGTTTTGTGAATCTTTTTGTCTCTATTCTTAGGGTTTACTTGAGATATTCAAGTATTTCTTAACAAATTGGTATCAGAGCGGTGTCCGGGCTTTTTGGGCTGATTCCTGCAGCAGTTTTTCTCCTTCGAACCGCTGTTTTTGTTGTGGAAATCTTAATTTTTGAGCCTAAGCAGTGTCCGGGGCTGTTTGGGCTGATTTATGCATTAGTTTGTCTCCTGCGAACCGCCGTTTTGCTATTTTGTGGTGGAAATCCAAATTTTTGAGCCTAACAAAGATCCGGAGACTTACGGCGTGAAGAAAAGTAGAAGTATTGGAAAGGGAGATCGGACAAATGAAATCTGAAATTTCAGATCTCCAAACTCAAATTTCAGATTTAAACTAAGACATTTCAGCCATCCATGATAAGTTTGATTCGAAATTTTCCATCATGAAGAAGATGTTGAAAAAAGTTCTCGAGGGCCAAATCAAAATATCGCCGTCGGACTTGAGGGAAGGCGCCGACAACCAAGGAAGTGGGCAAAACCCTAAGCCGATCAGACAAATGGAAGATTAAGATGAGATTTTGGAGTGAACATAAAAAATGCCTCCCATGGGCCTATTTTTTGGGAGGAATCGGGTAGAGGGTATGTGGGGAGGCGTGAGGGGGTTGGACATGAGTGAAAAAGTGCTAAATTTAAAACAGAAATGGGTAAATATGACCAAAGGAGGGTTGAATTTGAAAGGAGATGACTTGATTTTGACTGAAGAGGTGTCAAATTTGAAAGTAGAGGAGTTGAATCTGATCGAATGGGTGCTAAATTTGAAGGGAGAATGTGGGCTTGTGATGAAAGGTTTGGGTGCGAGCGAAGGGGGGATGATTAGTACAATTTGGGGGAACCAACCTTTTGGGGAATGAGAAATTTTGGAGGAAGCAGGGTTTACGGAGGATATCTGAGAGTGAGGATTCCGAAGATGGCTATTTTTGTGGGAGAGGATGCACATGAGGGATCTACAGGGTGGAAATGTACTTTACTGTCAATAAGTTGACAGATAAGGAGAGACTGACGGCAGTGGACCTATGTTTAGAAGGGATGACTTTGTCTTGGTATCAGTGGAGGGACATGTGTGGACCCATACAGAGTTGGAGGGAGTTCAAGGATTGCCTGTTAGAACGATTTCGAACCGGCAGGAGAGGAGACTTCTACGAGCAGTTCTTCGCCTTGACACAAGCTGATTTAGCGATAGTCCTGAGAGAGGTTCGAGTACCTCGCTAGCCGATTGGACTGCCTTTTTGAGACCGCGCTAGAGGGGAACTTCATGAAGGGGCTGAAATCAGAGATCCGAGCGACAGTTAGAGTGATGAGGTTTCGTGACTTGGGAGAGGCTATGGAGCTAGCTCAATTGGTGGAGGATCAGAGGCACCTGGAGAAAGGGATGAAAGGCATAAGATCAGGAGGCATGTACAGGATGACCACCACTGTTTTTTGCATTCAAGGAGCCGACATTGGGTACCCTTCAAGAAACCCCGAAGAAGAAGACTGTCGGTGGAAGACCCTAGGACAACTTCAAGAAGCTAACATAAATAGAGTTACAAGAGAAGAGAGCAAAGGGGCTTTGTTTCAGATGTGATGAGAGGTATACATTGGGGCATAGATGTAAGGACCGAATTCTCAGGTTTTCACTGTTTATGATGATAAGGGAATGGAGGAGGGTGTCTTCTTCCCACATTGCGACAATGTTGGTCTTTGAGAGGGGAGTATTGTTAGAACGGTCCATTGGACAGGTCCAGCCGGTACATACAATACCGACTCTCGGGAATTGGGGTGGAGAATGTCTTGCCTCCTACTCGTGCCGTTTAAGCCACAAGAACCAGAAGAGCTATTTAGGAAGGATTTTGAGGGAGGTAGGAGGGAAATTTGAATGTAGGGACTCTTTAGATATTTTCTTTTGGATTGTTACGATTGTATGCATTAAATAATATTTTTTTCTAGAGTTAGAGCATCTTGAATTTGGCTGAAAATTTGAGATATCTTAGTTTCTTTGGGCTCTTGCGGCGTTTAGAGATTTGGCAGAGATAGATCCTCCTCTCGAATAGAGGATTAATTGTATCTTGATATTTTTCTTCTATTAGTTGGATTATTGCCATAAAATCTATTGTTTTATGGTTTTTTCATTGGTTTTGTGGATCGTTCTTGTTGTTTTTGTCTCTATTGTTAGGGTTTACTTGAGATATTCAAGTATTTCCTAACAAAAGGCTGGTTGTCTTCTGTTTTATTCAAAAGGTTGCTAATTAAGCTAACGATATCAATTGCTAATTAACTTGTCAACTGCACTTGAAATTTAAATTTAGATCAGGTAATTGAAGACGTTCGGAAGGTACAATCTTTAAAACTATGAGAAATGTGTTTTACTGAATTTTGATGTGTTTTAAAATGGCCAGGGCTCTTTTTTCTACCTGTCCTTTTCTGTTCCTTTCTTTCACACCCAAGGATAATGTGCATCATGGCAGCTTTTTTTAAGTCTACATGATAGTGGTGTTTTGATGTTTGGAAGCACAGCTGGTATTTATTTTGTGCCATATAATATGTTACATGGCATACCTTGCTCTGGGTTCATGATTGATCATTAATTATGTAAATATTGATTCACATTTTCCTGAACTTTGCAATATTGAGAAAAAAATATTTTGCTCATGCCTGCAAAATTTTGGTTTTCCTCTGTCTTATTTTTTTTCTTATGGCACATCACTTGGTAAGGATAGCATGGTGTAGGGGTGCAAAAGAGTTAAGCCGACTCACGAGCCTTCTCAAGCTCGACTCAGTAATGAGCTCACGAGCCGAGCTTATCAGAGTTATGAGCTTTCATGGTTGACTTGTCGAGTGGCTCGAGTAGGTTGAATAGGCGGAACCGTAGAAGCGGAAGGCGGAATTAGAACCGGAACCAAAAGCCGAATTGCATCAGCCTATTCTTTTTACGCCTCGCGAGCCCCCATTTATTACCACGAGCCGAGCTGGAGCACACCATTTGAGCTTGAGTTTGAGTTTGCAGTTTGGCCGACAAACCAAGCTTGAGTTAAGCATGACTCTAGCTCTACTCGACTCGTTTACACCCACCCCTAGCATGGTGTAATGTTTAAATCATACACATTTATGATTTATTTGAATTTTCTAAGCATAACCCATGCTTGAGATATATGATATGCATTTCGTTCTTTTTTTGTGTGATATGAGATGTAGTGCATTTTTTACACCTCCAATTTCTCTTAATTAGTCTATATATATATTTTTTTGAGAAGTCATGGCTTATTTTGCAATGTTTTAGTGGCAGAATATTTTTAGGGACTTGTGGGTTAATGGAAACTCATTTCTTTCATTGTGAAAGCTTTTATGTACTGCTAAATTATGCAACACTATAAATATCGCTTGTCTCCTGGTTTAAATCTAGCATCGTAACCGGATTCAAGTGGGCGCATACTGAATTTTCATTTAAGCTTTAACTAGTGTAGTTCTTATTGTTGTTGTAATCATGATCACCACAATGTTCTTTTGGTTCTTAATATTTCCTCATCTATAATTGAAATCTGACGAGTTTTTTCTATTTTGGCATCTTGTTTGGACCGTCTGTTGGGTGCGTGCTTTTGCACAGCTTGCCTGATGACTTCTTTTGGTTATTATTCTTGCAGATATGGAAACGCAAATGTGTGGAAGATATTTACGGATCTCTTCGATTATTTTCCATTGACTGCATTGGTTGGTCTTCTAACTATATTTCTATTGTTTATATTTGATATTATTTGTTATTTTTCCATGCAATGATATTTCTTTGTTATTTTTGTGTAATTTGTTAATGTTGCACAACTATTGCTTTGAACTCCCTCTCCGCGTAATTGTTTTTAAATTTTGGTGCCTTAATACCTATTTTTCTTGTGTCATTGTTCGAAGTTAAATAAGCCATGATTTTTAAAACGCAATGCAATTGAAAAATGGAATCCAAACGACGCCCAAATGTCATTTAATTGCTTTTGTATGATGGGACATTTCATCATTTAAACAATGTGCACAAAAGAATATCAGGCATATTTATATTATTGGTGGTATATGTTATCTCAGTAATTGCTTTTATAGCACATTAAGGATTGTAAGCATGTGCGTCATTCTGCTTTGATTCAAGTGGAAATTATAAAGGAAAAATAGAACCATTTGTCCTAATCAACATAAGCTTTCATGAACTTCTTGAAGGTCGAGTCAGAAATATTTTGTTTGCATGGTGGATTATCCCCATCTATCGAGACTCTTGATAACATTCGCAATTTTGATCGTGTTCAAGAAGTTCCACATGAGGGACCAATGTGTGATCTCCTGTGGTCAGACCCCGACGATCGATGTGGTTGGGGCATCTCTCCTCGAGGTGCTGGATATACATTTGGCCAGGTACATTTACAGATTTACTCATATACACTTGGCATCTGAATCCATTATTCTTTTGCATGATAATAATTTTAATTTCAGGATATATCTGAGCAATTCAATCATACGAACAACCTTAAGCTGATCGCTAGAGCTCATCAATTGGTCATGGAGGGATATAACTGGGGGCATGTATGTTATTGTTATTTTATGGTCATTCATAGGCTTCGTTTGCGACAGCTTTCTTACTTATTTTTTACTAAAAAGCTGTTTTAAGAAGTAGTAAAAAAACTGTCTCAAACGAAGTCTTAATCTAAAGCTGCTGTATCGTCCTGATCCTTATTATTTTATTTGTGTTTGTCAAACAGGACCAAAAGGTCGTAACCATTTTTAGCGCTCCTAATTATTGCTACCGCTGTGGGAACATGGCATCCATATTGGAAGTTGACGATTGCAAGGGTCACACGTTTATTCAGGTTTTCTCCCCATTGTCTTTCTCAATGCAAGTCTGTAAGTGTATGTGTTGGCTACCTTATCTTATTGTTTGGTATTGCTTTAGGATTTAAGCAAGTTGAGATGAGTTAGAGCAAACCTAAACTTTATTAATCATTCGTATTCAAGTTTTAAGATCGAGCTTAAAAAAAAAAAAGTTTTAAGATCGAGCTTACTTCTATGAGTTTGATTTGACTCATGTGCACGTTCATTTGTTACAAAAAGAAAAGTTGATAATAAACTTCAAAGAATTATAGAAGAAATAATATGGAATTAATTGAGATAAAAAAGGAGAGAATTTTTAAAAAATTTATACTTAAATATTTGATATTAATATTTCTAAAAAAGATGGCTCATGAGTTGTTGAGTTAACTCCGTGTTAGCCCAAATTTGACTTGATTGCTACTCGAGCTCAATTTATGAGCCATTTATTGAATCGATCTCTAATTAGCTCATGCAGTAGCTTGACCCAATTACACCCTCTTTGTTTTTTTGCAAGGTATTAATTATGCTTGTATGCAGTTATCCTGTGGTGATTTAGGTTTCGTTTGGGAAGACTTTCTTACTGCTTCTAAAAGTAAAATTTAAGTACAATTTAAGAAGCAAACGAAAGCTGTCCCAAACGAAAGCCTTGCAATCTCTGTTAGTTCTAAAATTAGATTGTCCATTTTATTTCAGTTTGAACCAGCACCCAGGAGAGGTGAACCCGACGTAACTCGCAGAACGCCTGATTATTTCCTATAATGAATCCTACTGCTTGAACATGCTATTGATTTCTGGCAGAGATCAATCAATTATTTCAAGCTGCTTAACTTGGTCGGTTTGAAGGCTGGGGGAAATTATGGGGAGGGAGGAGGGAAAGATTATGAGAATCTACGAAATTGAGTACTTTGTAATTAGTTTCATTTTGTGTTTGCGAAGCAGCAGAGTGCTGCGGCATTGCAGCCGCAGCTTGGGATGTATTATCATTATTGGAAGGAGTACTTGTGATTTTCCTCTCTTTGTTTTGATTTGTCTCTAATTATATTTATTTCTTTTTGGTCTTGTAGAGGTAAAAGATTGCTCTTAATGTGTCGAATTCAAAGCTCTGACCAGTCGTTTGTGTCCTCTATTAGAAAAAAAAAGAATTTTCTCTGCAATCCATTTTTCGTCTGTAATTCTCTTAAGATTCAAATTCCTTTTAATTACAGCGTGGTTTATGTTTTATATTGCCAAATGTTTGGCCTTTTGTTCTTTGCTTCCATTAACTGATTGGTTAGTTTTATGCATGGTCTTGCTGTTCTTTTACGTGCCGCGTTCTCATCACCCGGGGCCCAGTGCATCCGGGTGATGTGGCGCGTCCGGATTCACGTCCGGACCGAATCCGGGCAGTCCGGACACCGCACGTAATAATCTCTCCACTTTCTCATACTAAATTGAGAAGTCTGGGTTATTAGGTGGGCTCTTAGGGTTCGGCAACAAAGTAAGCATGAACCAGCTTTTGAATATATTCATTCAGCTGCGTTATCATATCTGAATTTTGATGTTCTTAGAGATTCTATAATACAGTTTTTCCTTATAATTTATACGCTGAATGATTTTGTTAACCGAGTATTCTATTATTAACAAAATCATTAAGGAACTTGGTTAATAATTTAAGCCTTTCAATTACAATACATCTATGTGATTTCACCATTTGAAGGCGGGTGAAGAACTAACTACAGGGATGATCTGGGAGGAACCTATATGAAGAATTAATTTCTATTATATATATATATATATATAAACTAAAATACAATTTTTTTGTTGTAGGCTACACAATTAAATTGATAAGAACATACACTTATTTTAATTATATAATTGATTGTATGAACTTCTAATAAAGATTTAACCCAATTTTGTTAAGTAATATTTAAATATAATTTGTGAAGTGAAATGAGGAAGTCTAATAATCTTCGGATAAATTTATGAAATATTTTTTTTTTTATTACTATAATATTTTTAAGGTCAATATCAATTTAATTATGATAGAATGTTGATAAGAGTTCAAAAATAAAAAATATATAATTTAAAAAAAATAGATAAATCAGTATCCGTCAGTCCGCGGCTTTCATGTCCCCAAGCCCACGAAAGCCCAAATCCAGCAAGCTCTAACTCGTCTTCTCCTCCAACTCTTTCCTCTCCCATTACGGCCAAACCCCATCGCCGGTTACTCCGAAACCCTCCCACTCTTGCGATGCTTGGCTCTTTTCTCCGCTCCGCTGGAGCTGCTGTGGCTACTCACCGCCGGAACTCTTCACTTCTCTCACCTCCGCCGGGGATCCTCTCCGTCGCATCTCGCTCGTACGCGAGAGCTAAAACCCCTAAGACCACCTCCAAGGGGGGAAAGGTCATGGTCAAAGGCCCTCGCAGTGGAGGAGGCGACGATGCCGCCGGTGATTCCTCTTCCACTGAAGATATGAGCGCTTCCTTCGAGCTTCCTACGGATCCTCTCCCCATCACTTACGATCCCGCCCTCGACGTCGGCCCTGGCGGACGTCCTCTCTTCAGCATCACCGAGTCATTCAATCAGCTAACACACAAGCAAGCCAACACTTATGTCGACTTCAGGTAAGATTGATTTGATTTAGCTACATTTTTTTTAGTTTATGATTGATTGATTACATGTTGTTTTTTCGTTTTTGTTTTGTTGATTAGTTTAGAGGAATGGAATGCGAAGCTTCCGGAGGGCTTACCGGCGGGGATGAAAAAGGAGTTTGAGGAGACCCGTCGTTGCGCTGTGATGGTACGACAGAGTTTCTTAGATTTGCGTGATAATTTCCGGCGTATCTCCAGCCCGCCGCTGCGGCCTAGCAATAAAAGTGAGCTTCTTATGTTTAATATCCTACAACCTCTGCGGGTTTTGAGTGGTTGATTTGTTTATTAGTCAGAAGGCAATTGCATTTTTTTTCCTTTGATTTGCTGTATTTTGGATAATTTTGGTTTTTGTATTTTATTTATTTTTGGATTATGTTCAAATTTAATCTCAACTCACACATACACCCGAATACTATGGCCTCGAAACCATGACCTTTATAGTGGGGGCCTACCAACCTCCAGTCCAAGGTTGATTGCATAGATTTTTTTTATAACTTCATGGAGCATTTTTTCTTGATGCTTTGGGATGAATGAGGATGAAGAACATTCATTGAAAATTGGCTGTACTTTTATATGGAATTGAATTTTTATTTAGTTTTCTGTTACTATTTTGGAAAGAAGACGACAAAGCAAAATTTGAGGCATTTTGTAATTGATTTCACTGAAATGAAACTAATACAAACAAAAGACAGAAAATACTGAAAACACAGAACTATTGGATTAAAATGGATAGCTAGGCAATATTGGCTTGCCTAAATCTCCTGGTTGAGGGGGAGAAGGGATTTAGGTACTGTGATCATCTATTCAATGGTTCTAAGTCTTTAGCATTTACAGCAAGATGCCTGTTAAGTAACAAGTGCACAAATCAAAGAGATGGTGGCTGAAATTTGGAAGTAGAAATTGAATAAATTCTGTGGCAAAATACTAGGGAAACTTGATAATTGTTGAAAAGTGAAAGAAAACAAAGATATAATGGAGTTTCAATTCAAGAGGACGATCCGGCTCTCCCAATCTCTTGCATGCGGCTTGAGCCTAAGTAATTCTAGAGAACTTCCAAATTCAACAAAACAAAACCTAGCCCTAACCCTAACCCTCTCTATCGATAAAGAGAATACAAATATAATGATAATTACTAAACAACCCCCGCAAATTTAATTCCCTCCTAAACCACCCCCTTTTAATTTTGCATTCAAATAATGGGCCCCACAACGGGGTCAACAGCTGTTTGGTCCACCTAGCATAAACTGGCCTGCTGGACTGCTCCTTCTTAGAACGATCTAACAATGCCCCCTTCCAAAGAAGTACCTTGTCTTCAAGACGAAAGGATGGAAACTGATGCTTCGCCCTCTTGTATAGCTCCCAGGTGGCGTCATAGTTTGGTGAGTTTTTCCATTATATCAGAACCCCGATCCCTTCTTCCCCTTGTCGAACCCATCTCACAAGTGGTTCTAAACTCTGAGTAAGCTGCATGATCCCTAATAGCTTTCTTTAGTTGTGACACGTGGAACACTGGATGTATGGTAGCCGTTGATGGCAATCTCAAGTGGTACGCCATTGCTCCAATCTTTTCTAAGACCTCATATGGGCCAAAATACCTTGGGGCCAACTTCTCATTCCTCCAACATGGGGCCAGCTTCTTATTCCTCCCGTTGGCGATCGTCTCCTCTCTGTAGGGTAGCAAATTTAAGAACACCCTATCCCCCACTTTGAATTGGATGTCCTTCCTATGTCTATCCGTCTTTTTCTTCATAAATTGTTGTGCCCTCAACAGATGCCTTTTCAATTCTTCTAACACCCTATATATTTCCTTCAGGTACTGATCTACTGAAGAGACTGGTTTGCTCCTCTGCCCAAAATGCATCAAATGTGAAAGGTCTCTTCCGTACAACACTTTAAAATGAGTAATCTGGGAAGCCAAATGATATGAAGTGTTGTATCAATACTTTGCCCATGATAGCCACTTAGCCCACAACCTAGGTGTCTTTGAAGCAAAACACCACAGGTAAGTCTCCAGGCTCTTGTTTACTATCTCCGTTTATCCGTCTGTTTGACGGTGGTAACGGTGCTTCTCTTTGGAAATATTCCTTACAGCCTGAACAACTCTCTGCAGAAATGGCTGAGGAATACCTTATCCCGATCAGAAACTATCGATTATGGGATCCCATGTAATCTGACCACCTCTCTGATGAATGTTGCCACCGTTGTCACTGCTGTGTAAGAGTGTTGTAAGGGAATGAAATGAACATATTTGCTCAACCTGTCAACCACCACTAGAATCACTGTAAACTCCATAGATCGGGGTAGCCCATCTATGAAATTCATGGTGACCTCCTCCCATACTCTGTCTGGAAGAGCCAGGGGTTGAAGCACCCAACTGGAGCCATAGCCATGTACTTGTTTATTTAGCATACCTCACATTTATACTCCATCTCCTCCACATCTCTATTCATCTCCTTCCAATACAATTCTGTTGTTTATCTCCTGTATATCTTCTGCACACCCGAATTGCCTCCAACAACACTCCCATGGAACTCCTGCAGTAGGTGTGAAATATGAATTGAGGTCCGTGGTAGCATAAACCTCCCCTGGCACAATAATATCTCCCCTTCTATGAATAGCCAGGATGGATACTCTCATCTTTCAATAGATTCGCCCTAATTCCCCTCAACCCCTCATCTTGCACGCTCTCCTCCTTAATAGCCCCCCAATCCAACATCAACGGTACCAAAATGACTAACTCTTGAAGTTGTACCCCTCATGAATCTCCTGTGATATCCAACCAATCCTAGGAATCCCCTCAGCTCTCTCAGGTTCTTAGGTAGAGGCCATTTTAGCATTGCCTCAAACATGGCCTGATTAATGGTCACCCCTTCTTGGGATACCACGCGCCCCAAGTGCTCCACACTAGCTTGTATAAAACAACACTTCTTCAAATTGGCCCGCAACTGATGCTCTTGTACACTTTCAAAACCGCCTTTAGACGCTCCAGATGCTCCTCACTGGACTTGTTGTACACCAGGATGTCATAAAAAAAAAATCAGAATAAACTTCTTTAGATAAGGTCAGAACACCTTATTTATGAGGGACTGGAAGTAGCAGGGGCGTTGGTGAGACTAAATGACATCACCAAGAACTCATAGTGTCCCTCGTGTGTTTAGAAAGCTATCTTGGAAACATCCTCCTCTCTCATTTGAATATGATGGTACTCAGACTTCAGGTCCACCTTTGTGAATATTGCCGCTTCACAAAGATCATCTAACAGCTCATCTATCACTGTAATAGGAAACTTGTCGGACACATCCTTATTCAGGGCCCGATAGTCCACACAAAATCTCTAACTTTCATTCTTCTTCTCGACCGGGCTAGAAAAGGGCTCACGCTCAGCCTGATGATCCCTGCCTCCAACATCTCCCGGATCAGCTTCTCATTCTCATCTTTTTGGATATGGGGGTAGCGATAATGCCTGACACTGATCGGTGATACCCCCTCCCTCAACGTGATGGTGTGCTCTTGTCCCCCTATGGTGGCAACCCTTTAGGTAGCTGTAAAATCTCACTGAATTGGTATATAACCGGTCATACTGAAAGGGAATGTCCCCCTCTTCCTCCCATTCGATCCCCTTTAAACTCTGTAGCTCCACCATAAATCCTCCTCCTACCTCTTGTATGGCCCTTACCATGGTCTTTAGAGACACCATGGCTTTGGAGAGTCCCACATCTCCCTTAATCATCATCCATCTCCCTTCCAACTTTAACTCCATTTTCAATATCCCCCAATTCACCTTAGTATCTCCCAAGGTCTGCAGCCATCTCATCCCTAGGATGACATCAGTGCTCCCTAGTTCTAATGGGAGAAAATTCTCCCTCTCCTGGATCCCTTGTATCATCAAGACCACTCTCCTGCATACCCTTCTACCTATCTCCATCTTCCCTATCCCCATCATTACCCCATAACACTCTGTGTGCCTCAGGTTCATCCCAAATTGGTCTATGGCCTGGTTGGAGATGAAATTGTGGGTAGCTCCACAGTTTCTCAACAGCACAACCTCCTTGTCTGTTATTTCTCCTCTCACCTTTATAGTGTGATTCAGAGTGAATCTCACCATTGAGTTCAAGGAGGCATCTGTCATGTCTAAATGTAACTTTTCCTCCTCCGCAGATGCTTCCCTCACACCTCCCTTCTCATCTTTCTCGTCATCATAGACAGTGAGAACCTGAAGAGTTCGAAACTTACACCTATTCTTTGACATATAATTCTCATCACATCTGAAACATAATCCCTTTGCCCGTTTCTCTTGCATCTGAAACATAATCTCCCCTGGGCGAACTCCACCTTGGTGCTTCTCTCTGAAATGATATTGTTTGGGTTTTGGGTGCTAGAGTTGGAAAGGTATTCCTGCAGGCCCCTCCCATGATGTTGTTTCTGCTGGCCTTCTCCCTCCTATATTTTCCTCCACCCTTTGAGCAAGCTCCATCGTCTCCCTCAGACCCTAGGCCTCGGTACCTTGAGCTCTGCCCGTATGTCCTCCCTAAGCCCCTTTATGAAATTCCCCTCCAATCCTTCCTCATAGATTCCTCTCAGTCTCCCTGACAGCAGCTCAAACTTCTTCCGGTATTCCATAACTATCTCCTCCTAAGTTAGGGCATAAAACTGCTCGTGGAGGTCTCCTCCCCGAATGGCTCGGAAACATTCCCACAAGCACTCCTTAAATTCTCCCCGTGAGTAGATCGGATACCTAGCCTCCCTCCATTTGAACCAGACTAGGGCTTTCCCTTCCAAAAATAAACCCGCCACTATGAGTTTTTTCCCTTATGTCAGTCCGTTGATAACAAAGTAACATTCCACCCGATAAACCCAACCCTAAGCATCCTCCCCTTCAAAGACATGCATCTGTAGCTTCCTTGATCTCGCATCCATCTCCTAATGATTTCTTCATCTGTTGGTTGCTCTCATATAGCGGTGGTGTGACTCCCTTTCTTCCTCCCTTGGTTGAGTTTGACCCATGGCTCCTCCCAATCATGCCCTTTAACATTCCACCTCTACCCATGTCCGGGCAGTCTTCCAAAGGGTTCAACCTCCCTCCTTGCTGTGCTCCCTTCGGAATACCCTGATCCTCCCACCAACGGAGCCCCACGTGGCAGTCCTTGATGGAAAACACTCTCTAATTCATCACAGTCCTCTTGAATCTCCTTTCCTCTTGGTTCCACCCTAAGAATCATCGGTAATGCTTTCGATTGCATCTCAAGCATCTTTTTCATCATGTCTTTAAAATTTCCAAAGCGGTTTTCAATGGCTAAGAGTCCTCCCTCCACCTCGGAATATTTTCCTCTACTCCGACCTTGAGTTGTTCTATTTCACTTTCCAATGCATCCATCTTCTTTATTGCCATTAATTGGAGCTAGGCTCCAATTACAAAAACAGCGAAGACAACTTTTTTTCTACTCAAGAAAGTGCTCTGATACCAATTTGTTTGGTAACACGTGTAGGAATCAAGGAGATGGTGGCTGAAATTTGGAATTTCAGCAAATAACACAATAGAAATTGAATAAATCCCATGGAAAACACTAGGGGAATTTGATAATTGATGAAAAGTGAAAGAAAACAAACAAGATACAATGGATCTTCAATTCGAGAGGAAGATCCGTCTCTCCTAATCCCTAGCCGGCGGCTAGAGCCCAAGTAATCCTTGAGAACTAAAACCTAACCCTTACCCTGATCCCCTCCATCTATTTAGAGAATACAAATATAATAATAATTACGAAGCAGCCCATCCCAAATTTAATTCCCTTCTAAACGGCCCCCACTTTTAATTTTGCATTCAAGTAATGGGCCCCACAAGGGTGCTGGCAGCTGTTTGGTCTGCTGGCATAAATCAGGGGTTGGCCCATGTTTTGAGCCAGCTGGACTGATGCTTCTGGGACCAGTCTAACAATGCCACTTTATTTTCTGCAAACTGATTACATTGAGTTTTGCTTCCATTTGTCTACCATGAATAAACACATAACCGTGACTTACTGTTAGAAATCAAATTCTAGCAAGTCTAATGGAATTGCTGAGCCGCCAGATTATTTTAAAGGTTGAAATGGCTGTGCTTATTTTCCAAAGCCTTAGTGTTTTTTCTTTTGAATTTTGTTTTTGTAAAATCTCCTATGGGTTATTACTGTCCTCAAACCATTAGAAAGGTCCAAATTAGTCATTTTGAAGTAAATTTTATCAAAGATCAAAGCTCTTTCTATAGTAGGATCAGCTTTGAAAATGTAGTTTGCATTGTGCATTTGAGGTATATATGGAAGGTACATCGTATGTAGTGATCGGTAGCTGTTGTTGGAAATTTTATATTTACCAGCTTTGAAAGCGTTGTCATCATCATGATTAGCTTTGAAAGATTGTTATACTTAGTTTACTACAACTGTTACAGATTCAAATGTTAAAAAGCAAATAGTTTTGGATGGCCCAGTCAGTTGTGGAAAGAGCATCACACTTGCTATGCTTGTCCACTGGGCACGCTGCGAGGGATGGTTAGTGTTGTATGTTCCTAGAGGTAAAGATTGGACACATGGGGGATTCTTTTACAGAAATCCCTATGGTGATCTTTGGGACACACCTGTACAGGCTGCGAAAATCCTCCAGGTATTCTTGGCTTCTAAAGTGACTCGTAACAATTTTCTATCTCTGAAAAACATTTTCTGTGGAATTTGTCATGTAATAACTTTATTGCAAATCTTACCTGCTGCTACCTACATTTGAGTGAGCAAAAGTTGGTACCAACTTCAAATTATGTATTTAACTATGTTGCACCGATATGGATACGACGACACGGATACGACACGATATGGATACGTGGCACATCAATTCTTAAAAATACAGGATACGGGTACGGCGCGGACACAACATTATAATTTATAAATCATACATAATAATTAAGAAAACAATCAAAGAATAATATTTGAAATTACAAAAAAGAAGAAGAAAATAACATCATTTGTAGCCTTGTAGATTATACTATCAAAATATAAGTAAGCATTAAATGTCTAGTACAATAACAAAAGCATAAACATAAATTGTCTAGCACATAAAGTTTCAACTATTCAATAGAAGGAATGATATGATTAGCTTCTTCAGTGATTTGTCTTTGAACTTCTATATCATCTTCAATAAATATCATAGCTTCTAATTCTGAAAATATCATAGCTTCTAATTCAAGCTCATCAAGTGAAAGATTAGCATTTTCTAATATTCTCATATCATCAAGAGACTCAAATCCATCTCGGAAATGAGAGAACCTTGCTTGTAGCCGCGAAGTAAATACGACGTGTCTTTTTTTTTTTTTCGGATTTTATTTTTTATTTTTCAATGGACATGCGTATCTTATACGCGTGTCCTTTTGAATTTAAATAGTATTTTAATTGGATACGGCTTTGGCGTATCCGACACGTATCAGTGGTGTATCGGAGGCGTATCCGTGTATCGGATACAACACGCCTTCATAAATAGGTGTATCGGTGCAACATAGGTATTTAAGCTATTGCAAAGAGGATGCTTGAAATAGTGGAACTTCCTTTTCTTTGAAGTGCCGGTTTTGGCTACATTGTGTGTGTAAACCCAAAACAATGGTCTCTATGTTGTATGATGAGCCAATTTAACGAACTATTCATACCACACTAACTATGAGGTTCTTGTGGTTATCTTTTTTTTCCAAATATAATTTTGGTGATTTCATCAGTTTGGAATTGGCGAGTGATGAGGTTGTGCTTGTTTACTACATGGCCTTGGTCCTTTCGGCTTATGGCATAGTATGTCATCACTGTTAATATACAAACTTTAACCAAGCTTTTTTGGCATGCCCCTGTAGTTAAGCTATATAAACATGTTTGATGCATACTTATGGTATGCAATCATGCTTCTACAGCATGTTTCTGCTCGGTATGATACATAAATGGATCCCATGTGATGTTTACTGCACCTTTTATTTCGGTATAAATTAAAGTTTTTAATTTATTTGTTTTTTTAGCTTTTGTAACAGTACTTTCCATCTATTAAGTTTGTTTTCCGTTTATCCTTGAGTAGATATATTCTGATCATCGGAGTGATTTTTATGTGGAGCTTTAATTGAGACATTTTTGCAACCTGGTGATCATGACGTACCACTATTTGCGTATGTAGTGCATTTTTCTTGTAGCTTGTTTAAAAATTCTAATTAAATTCCATATCACTTACGATAATGCCAATCCTACTACATGTTTACCATTAAAACCCCCGCTCTTTAGTATCTCTTCGTAGCATGCCTCATTGATAGCTGATGCTGTTGGGAACTATCACTTGTTGGGGTTAGCGACTGCGGGTTAAAGATACATTTCTCTCTGTAAACATAGACTTTTCCCTTCCTATTGCGCTCTCTCCACCTCTTATTACCTGCTTCCCTCCATCTTTAACTTAAGGGATTTTTGTGTTAAGAATGTATCTTTGTTGAACATTATTGGTGCTAACAAGTATTTATTCTAAAGGCGCTTAGCTGCCCGATATAGTTTTCAATTCATGACAATGGTAGTTGTCAAATACTTATGTCCAGTTAAATAGTGTTATACATGACTTAAAAGTACAAATAAGGTGGGCATCTTTTCTTTTCACTGGAGGACGTGACTGCTATAGCTAACATCCATTAATTAGGTAAATTTCAATTTAAGTTTGCAGGTCTTAAATAATAATGTACCGAGGAATGCTATATATTCTTTTCAAATAGTATAGAACGCTTTGATAGTATAGTGAGACTCCGGGAGCTGCTCACCGCTGTTCTGGTTTAATATTTAGATAAGCTACATTTTTCAACAAGCAATTTCTGCAGCAGCCAGCAGACTGTTAATATTTCTCTCCTTAGTAATTTTGCTTTTCAGACCTTCTTTAATCATTTGATCTAATGGCCATGATCTTTAGGTTTTGATTAGCTGAGTAGATAATTAGTTCAGTCAGTTTTCTTTTTCTTAACATTTAGGTTGGTAATTTCTCTTTTAGAATATCTAGTTCTACAGTTAGTCTTAGAAGAGATACCTGTTTTAAGCTTTTTTAAAATAAAATAGATTGCAAATTATTCATCTATCATTTTATTGTTTTAGTGCCATTTCCCCTGAGAATTTGTTGCTTTGAGTAAAACGCCAATAGAGAATTAATTGTTATGCTTTTCTTTTATCTTTAACTTGTTAAATTAGTGGCTGATTCATTGGTAAAATTGCATCATGCTAATGGCATGTTAATATTTGCGTCTTGGTAGTGTCAAAATTTCCCATTAATGTACCGTTATTTTGCATTGTGTTGTCAGGATTTTTTGAAATTCAATGAAGCTTGTTTACAAAAATTGCCTTGTCAAATTTTTGATCCTATCTCTTTGGGAGAGGGTGCCGGCGTTGGAATGATGAAAGGAGTTGATTCCATGGAAATGCCAGAGGGTTCAACATTGTTTGATCTTATCCAAACTGGGATTGCATATACACATGCTTCAGTTGGTGTAGTGGTTCGTTTGAGGAAAGAGCTATCCCTGGTGAAAGACGTTCCTGTTTTACTTGCTATAGATCAGGCAGGGAGATCACAATTGATACTTCTTTAATGTCTTTTTTCTTCCCTCCAGTAACTCTTGTTCAAGAATTGTAGCAACTTATACATCTTGCTTTTTGCAGTACAATAACTGGTTCACATTCAGTGAATATGAAGAGCCCGTAACCGTTCGATCAACAAGGCCAATTCATGCTAAAGAACTTTCCACGGTCAGTATCATGATGTATACATTTCACTTGGATGACAACTTATGCAGATTTATGATCTTCTTTTTAATGCTTGCCTGTGCATTGTTTCTGATTATGAAGTGGGTATTCCTGTAGTAGTCCTTAGTATATTCAATATATTCTGTTTTTATTTCCTATTAAACTAGAAGGCTATTGTGATCTCGGTTTATTTTGATTAACTGTAAACCGCAATAGTTGGAAATATTATTCCCCTGACTGAAACAAGTGCTTGCACACAGTTAAAAACAAATGTTCATTCTATCTAATAGGTCTAACCTCGTGAGCTCTGTTTCTTTATCCAGGTATTTTCTTTCTAGATTAAAGTAGTATACATTTGTGAATTTGACGTTTATTTACCAAACCTACCAACCTAAATCTCCCAAGTTACCATTATTATCTGTAGGTGAACAATATGGCTGACTAACACTAAGAAGATGTTGCAGAACTTGCCTAGGTAATACTGTCTAGGTAATATGGAATTATTTTTAGGCTACTAAATCTGACACCACTTACATTTTCATATTCATGCATTTATTTGAACCGTAACCTTCCTCAGGCATCACACTAATCTTTATTGATAGCTTATATGCTTTTCACTCTTATTGTAATGTTTTGATGGGAAAGTTTGATCGATGTACATGGGGCTCTTATGTATACAAAGGAAATTCATTTAAATTGAGTTCTAACTAGATGGCTCGTGCTTTGCCACTTCACATGGATATGCCCTTTTTTATTATTCGATAAAATGGTTGGTGATGGTGACAGTACTCACAATTATCCCTCCTCGCCTTTTATGCCACCATGCATGCCCCAATCCATCCACCCTCCACCTTTAGTTAGTGCCAATGGAGAAAGAATAAAAAGGGAATCATGGAGAGAGATGGAGGAGGTGGCAAGTACAAGCACCAAACCAAAGGTTGTGATTATAGTTGGTTCATCCTTTTTTCTCTCAATGTTTATGTGTGTGTGTGGATGATATGTTCTGTGGCAGAGAAGGGTGGAATGCAGATGGTTGGAGAGAGAAAAGGGTGGGGTTTGTGTATGAGTATGCAAAAGGGAGGAGTGATTTAGGCTGAGCTCAGACCAATGATATTAAGCTCATGGAGGGAAGTTGGCCTTGAAGTGAATGATTGACTGGAGAGGAGAATGGTAGGTGAGAGGGACACATCTCCATAATGTGGTTCCAACTTCCTATGCTGCAATATGCATGAGGGGTTGCTGGATTGAGAAGAACTAGTACTTATAGCGTTTGGAGGAGAAATTGAAGGATGTGTGAGGGTGGGAATTTTCTTTTATGGAATTGTATTGAGGTTGGAGGTTGGGTGGGTGGCAAGCCCACTGATGGGGTTTGGTAGTAGGATATGTGTCAGATTATCTAATGGAGGACAATTGTGGAAAAGAGAAAAATAAAAAAGGTGGCACAGTAGCTACATATTCAAGCATTTAGAAGCTATAGTGATACTGAAATGTTGGAAGATGAAAATATGATGTCATTGTAGTGGCTCTCCTATGGGAAGTGTGGGTGATTTGTATTGTAGTTGAAGGAAGATACATTCAATAAGTTGTTTTTGGGGGAGATGGGCCTTTGTTGAAAGTAAAAATATATTTTAGAAAAAAATATGAGAAGTTGACCCAAAAAAGCTAGTATATGCCTATAAGGCTAATGATGATGATTGTTGGGTCAGTTGTTTGTGAAAAGATGTCAAGACCATAGTCACCATGCTATAGATATAAATCGAGTTCAAAGTGCAGAAGAGAAGAGTGAAACACCAAGTCTAAATGATTCTCTAAAGTGAATTATTCTTCAAAGGATACGCTTGAATCCCTTTGGAAAAGATGACTAGTTGAATTGAGTTAGATAAACAATTTAAAGATATAGAGAGAGAATTCAGTGGGATAGAGTTTTAATACAAAGTTCAAGTTCGCATAAATGGGCGAGCATCAATGTCGGAATTATAAAATTGACTACATATATTTGATTTAAATTAATTTTTAATCATTTACATCAAATTCATAAACAAACACTAATTTATAAAGGAATGTAGTTATTGACATAAAAATTGTTCACAAATTGGACTCGATGTATCATATCATGTATTCAACGAGCTTGGTTTGTAGTTGACTGCTTGTTAGGATTTGGGTGAGCTCCAGATTAAGAGATGGTACCCTTAGTGAGTTCTTCTGGTGAGAATCTCTGGTTGACAGTTTAGTACTTAGGATGAGTTTAGTAGCTTAGTATTGACGGCTGAGTAAGGGCTGATTATTGGGTATTTTGTTGATGTTAAGCTTTTGATAACTAGAGGCTAGACGAATTAAAGTTTTGAAAGTTTTGGGTTTTTGACAGTTTAAAATAGTTCACATTCAACCACTTCTTGAATTCGGTTCATATTCACATGTTGGCTTGATTAACTTGACCCAAGCAAATATGGGTTTACATCAAAAGTTCAATTCAGCCTCGGCGACTTGGATTTGATATGGAGTGTTGACTTTTCATAGTACCAATATCTTTAACATGAAGACTTAATATTGTTAGGTTAGCTGATGTGAAACAATCTCATGCGAAAATGATTTGCTTAATGACGTTTGCACGCTTAGATTTAGAGGCAATAATAAGTAAGATTTTATGCGGAGTTGAACGATAAGATAAATATTAAGTGGTACTTAGCTTAGGTTAATTCTCATGCATAGAAGTTAAGTTCAAAAGATAGCCGTCTTAATCCAACATTGCATACGTAGATTGTTCCAACAATAAATTTCAATACTAACAATAAGATTAGGCTATGAAAGATCCCTCACACAACTCTTCTAATTACTAGGCTTTAGCGGAGAAGCGTCAACTTGGTCGTCATGAATTTACTAGACCACAATTGAGAAGCACTACGAAGATAAAAGAGTCGGGGAAAGAGTTTACCCAAAGACGAGAGATTACGAAGCTTCCCGTTTGATCACCAAGGCACTGGATGAAGAGCAACTAACAATGTCAAAGCTGGGACACATTTAGGAAGGTGATCATTGACTTCTTGGTCGGCAGGGCAGCAAGAAGATGGCCACCAAATCGACTGGACAGCAACTGGAGATGCGTAGGCAGCGGCAATTGCTGGTGGAAAACCCCTTTTTGGTCTTCCAAATACTCCCAACAGCAGTTTGACAGCAAATTAACACGATGGGACAGCAGTTTGTCCCGTCAAATGAGGCTTAGGCAGCCATCCGGGCTTACTGGTGAAGGAAGAACATTATTATTATGCTGCTGTAATTCACGGCCACATCTGGGAATTCTATTGAAATAATATCAGATTTCTGGATTTGGAGGGAGGAGTTGGGTGGAGAACTCAAGCCTATTCCAGGGAAGTGCTCGGGTAGGAGAGAAGACTTTAGGAAATATTTCAGATTTTCTGAAACTGAATTTTAGTGAAAAGACGTGGGGGAAAAGGGTGAAGAGCCGTTTCACATTTTAGATTTTGAACTCTGAAATTACCATTTATGAAATCTGGAATTAACCATGTGAGAGGAGACATTAAAGAGGTATTTAAGTGGTGGCGAGGTGGCAATTAGAGAGAGAAGCAATGGGGTGAGGTGGCCGGCCACATGGAGAGAGAGAGGGCTGCTGGTGTTAAGTAAAATGGGGCCCACGTAGTCAACAAAGATTTAATAAAAACTGAAATATATTTCAGGTTTTAAATCCATGAAAGTTTCCTAGTATGAGGGTTATTAATTCAGATTAATTTGAATTTCAAATTCAAATTGAGATCTAATTAATTTGGAGCCCTCAAATCAAGGAACTAAATTAGGAAAGTAGTAATGGGCTTCATGAAAGCTAAAATTTGAATCCAGGGTTCAAGGGGGGGAAGACCGACGGCAAGGGGGGAAGTCGGCGGGCTGGTGGGCTGGCCAGTGGCTGCTGGCCGGTGGGCTGGGGCTGCTGGCCGGCGGGTTGGGCTGCAGGCCGGTGGCCTGGGCAATCCAGGGAGGGGCGGTGGCAAAGAGCAAGGGAGGGGAGATTGTGGGGGAAAATTCTCGGGATCCAAAACATGAAACTTCAATCTCCCACTAGTGGCTTCAATCCAAATCTTCACAACAACGAATTGATTAGGAGAACTAGAAGAAAATGAAAGAACAAGAAAAACCTAGAACTCACAAAGAGATCTAGTTTCTCCTACGAACTCACTAAGAGATCGTGGAGGTTTGCACTCACAAAGAGAACATGAAATGTAGAACTCACAAAGAGATCAAAGTAGAAATTTTCATTTGTTAATGATCATCCCCTTTCCAAGAGGAAGGGGAGGGCTTAAATAGCCAAATACATGAAGGAAAATAAAAAGACACAATTGCCCCTAGGGCAAACATAAAACAAAGCCCTCGAGTGAGGGTATAAATGGAAAAGTACAAATAACAAATAAAATACATCAAAATAAATAGACACGATCGTAGCCGTTGATCTTTGATGTCCTCATCATTTGTTGTTCATTACAAAGCCTTCTTTTGCGTTAGTCATTTGTTGTTGCTTTGAAATTGTTTTTGATTTGTTGTCCTCTGTAAAGATGAAGAATGAATATTTATAAAGGTTTGCTGTTGCTGATGAGTTCATAAGGAAAATAGGAAGGCTAAGAAGCAAAGAGCTTCACAAATTTTTCTGGAGATGCTTCCATTGAAGAAGTTAAAAGTTGAAGATGATGATGAAAGTCAAAAGGAGCTGGGTCCTTCCTCAAGCTAGGTGGCTGCTAAGGAAGCCTCTGGGACTGTGGAGAATGTTGTTAAGATGGCTTTTGGTGAGCAAACACTGGGCAATTAGCCTGCTAATGTCACTGAAGTTGTTGGCATTTCCAACTAGGTTTGGGATGATGAAGTCACTAATGCTGGTGGCGAGTAGATGTTGACTAGGAGTCACTAAGTCTTCTAGTAATGAAGAGTCTGAAGATGCTACTAAAAAGATTGTAGACTATGAGATGATTGTTTTGACAATGAAGTTGCTTGAAGGGGAATCA